ACACACACACACACACACACACACACACACACACACACACACACACACACCCTCTTGTTTAGGACCATGTATGACATTTTCTCACCTTTCTAGCAGTTTGTTGAATTGCAGATGACCTTGTCCTGAAAGGTTTTTCTCTAAGACTTTAAGTTTAATTTCCAAAGTTTCATTTAGCTGATTTGGTAATTTTGGAAGCTTTGGAATGTTTCATCATTAGACATCAGGTTAAATACTGACAGATTTGAAATGCAAATGTACTCTGTCTGAGCACACCTCGACTTTGGTGGTTAGTCCTCCTCATAACTCCTCTCCTAGATGGATATGCTGCTTGATCCATAAAAGCCAGTTAAAATGTGTTTTCTCCCTTAATGTTTAGCAAGTATATAACACAACCTACCAATTGAATTGGTATTTTTGCCCTTGAAGTACAATAATTAGATATTTTGCACTGGAGACAATATAGTTTTTTCTTATTTAGAATCCAAATAATCTCATTCCATTGGCAAATTTTCTTACTTCTCTGCTCAAATCAAGGAAAAATACAATTATTTCAAGAAAAAAAATGGGCTTACCTTGATATAAATTTTTGCAGGGATATTTCAATTGTAACTCCCCATAAAACAACACAACCTTTCTCTGACTTCTGCATTCATAATGGCTGCTACTTGTTTCCAGGTAGTAAAATGTTCTTACTGGTACTGTTCTGTTATTTATGTGACATTAAGTCAGATTTTTACTTTTTTTTCTTACTTTTCTTAAGATGATATACCATCTCAGCGCTCTTAGAAGAATTATTTAGTCATTGTTGCAATGAAGGCCATATAGAAACAATGGAGAATAAAAGCATTCACAACTCCAAAATTCTATTTCCTAAATTCCATCACCTAAACCTCCTGGTACTGATGTCAATCAAATGCACCAGTAGAACTGGAGCCCATACGAATCTTTGGTCCGACCAAGAATGTTTCTTTGTGGAGTTGGCGAGATATGGATTGCTTTTTTTATTTTCTTGTCGATGTCTAAATGCTATATTTGTTTGATGTTGCATCTCTTTTCAGATAGATTTTACATTTATTCTAGACTTTTTTTCTCCTTCTTTTGTCACCAACCTCCATTAACATGTGGTCTGGTTAAAGAAAAAGTCCAGACATCCAAAAGCCCACTTTTCCAGGCCACATTCACACCGCTGGCCGGGTTTATGGATTATTCTATGGAATGATTAGAAGGGAAACGTACACCTCTTCTTAGCACCGGTTTGCTTTCTTACGTGACCTCACCGTCTCTTGCTTTTAGTACGATTGAAAAAGCAAGCAAACTGCTCCAGGGATTCAGAAAAATGATACCGAGTCCAGCAGTAACTGTGCCAGGGGTTAAAGCTGGGATGATCTGCTCCAGAAACTGGACTCTGGCAAGGTTTAATATGAAAGCGGCCTCTGTGTGAGCTGTTACCATTGGAGAGATCTAAGTGGGTGAACCACCTGAGTAGAAATCCAAGCTAGTTCCTAAAGAGCCCAATATGGCCAAACCACAGCACTTTTTATATTTTAATGCCAGGTGGTTGAACCTCATATTTCAAATGACAAATTTCCTTGTTATTGAACCTCTAGGGCTGCAACTAACTTATGATTATTTTGGTAATAGATTCATATTTTGATAATTTTTCTATAAATAGATTAATGATTAGATAGCAAAATGAACCTTAAGAAGATTTTATACAGAATTTAAACTAGGTGAGGCTGAAATTAAAGCATTTAACGGTTTTTGGACAGTTATTGAAGGATAAAGGTTTTTCACCCTGAATGCAAAATGTTTAAATTTATTTTATTTTGACATAATAACCGCTCTTAGTGGATTGCTTTTCAGCTTTAGAGTCTGTACACTCCAGCTAACTTTTAATCAATTACTAAAATAGTTGATTACCTAAATAATTGATTAATCCTAATTAATCCCCTTAAATATTTTAGCCCTAAAACATTTCCTCTCTTACTAGCAGTGAGAGAGTAATAGTAATATATAATTATTTAGTCTCTTTGGAAAATTAATAATTAGGGATCAAACAACTTATTTTAAAAATCCATTTTTGATCCCACTGATTAATAAGTCTTATTGATGACTTTTAGATGAGAGGTAATTATCTTTCAAGTAATTTGTAATTCTGAAAGACACAAGTAACACACTTTTTTTTTTTTTTAGTGAGAGATAGATTCCTCAGACTAAGATAGATGAGAATTTGTTAGGTAGAAACAATAAAGCTAAACCTCACCTACTCACAATACTCTTTGTTTTGTTTTGCAGGAGTTGAGGGCAATAAATGATCAGAGAAGAATGATAATATATATATATATATTTATATATGCAATCTATATTTTCAGTTACAGGTGTAAACAGACATGTTTCCCTAATAAGAAAAACAAAAGGAAAAGAAAATATAAAGTACAAATGACTATCTTTGCAAACTGCAAAATGAACCTTTGGTTTAAAAATCATAAAGAGCATCATTAATACAACCACTGCCAATAACAAACATTTCATCTTTTAAAAGGGGGATTTTCATGCAACAAAGGCAACTGTGATGAACAATAACACAGGACCAGTGCACTAATGACACACAGGGTCAGCTGAGTCTATTCCAGCACAACATGCACACATAGAGTAATGACACACAGCTCCTCTCTGGTTTTCCTATTTCTGACCCATCTGAATAGTTGCCGCTCTGGTATGTGCGCATGTTTGATCACATGTGACAGAGAGGTCCCTTATCACATTTCAACATATTTTTTTTTTGGTTTCAACCTCTGGCACTCTAAAATTAACAACCTTAATGCTGTACAGTCTGTTACTCATCAAAAAATTCATTAAATGCACAATAGAAACAATAATCAAGCTGATCACTTTAAAATTAATGTTATTTACAGGTGATCCAGAAATATACCCCCACCCCCCCCCAATGGTGACATCAAGTATCTGTGACTAGAAGCTGAATGCAGGAATGTGCATCAGAGGAGATTGCCATCACTGGAGCCGTGTGTCGTCGCTTTTGCTAAACCAAGAGATTCTCCTGCAGATGACTACATCTGAATTAAGTACATAAGGTGACTACATTGAGACAACATGACTGCATTGAGGAAACAAGGCACAATCGAAAAGATAGAAAACACGTCATGAACAGAGGGGAGACAGAAACGTTGGCCTCAACTACCCCTTTATCATATCCTCCGAAATTTGAAAATAGCATACTGAAGATCGATGGCAATGCTTAAAGTGGATGATCTGTAGTCTGAGGAGCTACATTGTTTCAAATTCCCTCATATCACACCAAAAGCAGAATAGTTGGCTTTGTTTATGCAAGCAGAATTTTTTTGCTTGAAAACTATTGACTATGTATCCTCTTTGCTTTTACTCTGAAGATATAACCCATAGATTGTCAATGCAAACACATACTAATATGTTCCTGTAAAGTAGCATCTATGCTTCTCAAAAGCACCTTTAATTTTGTGGCTGACATCAATGTACTTTATAAATCTCCTCTTTGATGCCAAATTCAGGCACATTGGCCTCTATATTTTCAACACATAAAAGCAAGTCCATTTCACAATGAGTATGACACAACTAGGCATGGGCCGGTGTTATAATGTTTATGGTTGGAAAAATGCAAATTTTTTTTTTTAACAGTTTTACAGTACGACATGCTTTTAATGTAATCTAGTTTAATTTCCCCCCTCTCCCCACCTTTGAAGTGGCTTTAGGAGCACGGAGAGACAAAAACACTGCTCAGACCGTTGCTGCGATTAGCTGGCCAGCTGACTTAAAAAAAAGAAAGAAAGAAAAATAATTAGATGCAGATAATTCATGTTTACATGACTGGGAGAAATAAATTTATTTAAGTATATTTTCAAGCCCTCTCATTTGCCCTTTTTCCCTATTATGTTGTTCCTGCACCTGTAATTTCTTTAAATTTGTTTTAAATGAATGAAGTACAGAGCATCAAAAGCCTTTTCTGTTGCCTACAGTGGTTCACTTGGCTTACAGTTTTCCTTATCTTAGTAAAAATGTTTTAAATCACTTTTATCCAAAAATTTTAAAATGTACACTCACAAATATTTCACCCACATATTAAGAACTATCTAATTTTATTATATAAAACATTAAAATGTAAATTTGCTATTGTTTTGTTGTTTATTGCTGATCATCTTTGAGCCTTGCAAAACGACGGGGGACAGAAATTGCAGTTTATCACTCCTCGAAATAAAACAACTTCAGGAGAAGTTGTAAAAAAAAAAAAAAAGGGATATAGTTAAATAGATCCCCTTTGAGCCTCAAACAAAAGAATGAGGGGCAGACAGAGCAGGGAAAGCACAGTTTAACTCTAAACCCTTTATGAAAAAAAAAAAAAGAGAAAAACTCAGATAAACTTCCCCGATCTCTCTGAGAATCACCTCTCTGCCTCAGTCAGCATATAAATCGACCCACAGCAGTTATTGCTGTGTATTTTTCTTCTTCTTAGACATTAATCTCATTAGGTTTTTTAATATAGGCATATTAACATTCTCTATCTGAGCTGGTTTGAGATGCTGCAAAGACTCGTTAAGTGGGGCTTTGCTTTATAGAATGCCTGGTATGTTTTTTTTTTTTTTTTTTAAATAAATTTTCATAATCTGTCCAAGTCAAATGTGGGAAATTGTTTTAATTTGTGTGACACAGACAGAAGTGAAAAAAGTGCACAGATCTGCCTAACCCAGTCAGAGACATGGAAAAAAAAATTGGATCGAAATTAAAAAGTTATACGCAACAGGTGTGTTCAGGCCTTAAGTATACTTAATTCTGAGAACATAAATCTGGCAATTATGTAATTTAAATAAGTAAGCAATAATAAACTAATGAACATGCTTCATGTGAGGTTTATTTAAAAGGCTTGCATTAAAATCATCTAACAAAAGTAAAAT